GGATCTGACATCTGGTTCTGTGCCCGCAGGTGGCGGCTCCATTGGACAATGTTGAGTCTGCCGGCGAGCTCTGTTCCGCCAGAAGTAGTCTCGAAGATGTTTTGCCGCTGACAGCTTCCTCTGCTTTTCTGTTGTCTAATAAATCGTCGCACAGTCTCTGGTTCATACTTTCCTGCAACGCACGCCTTGAGGCCCATGAAGAGACCTTAGTTTTCCGCCATGTTGTTCGTGGGCTTGGTGCTTGCGGATTGACTCGACTCAGCAAATATGTGCTGTGGCTGGTTCCATCGCGATCCGAACCACAATTGCTCCACTGTCACCTGTTCCGGGGTTACCTCTGGAGCCACCATCGGAAAAGAGCAAGTGCGTTCTAAGCGTCCCAGTTAGGCTTGAAGAACACTTTTCTGGCATGTACGAGTGCATGTGAGGTTTGGTATGCAGATTGACGGTGTCATATGCTGGAGACTCGTACATAGGGATGACCTTTTAAATTGAGCTGTAATATTGTTGAGCTTGTCGTAACCCAAACGGCCCAATTCTAGAACTTTCAAATTGGTAACTACGATCCTGCATGATCACTATTGTATATCACAATCACGTCACGAAGCTCTAGAATTCAATCATCGGATCTAGGGATATGCCTCTGGGAGAGACATCGTAGTTTATGAGTAGTTGTAACACTTGTTAGTTTATCAGTCTCCAATTTTCCAAACGAAGCATACGACAGAGCTTGTCAAAGTGACTTACCCGCCACCTCCAGCACGCGTGTAACTATAAGGCTGTTCCTAATCACCAGCAGCTCTCAAATAGAGTCTGTTGTGTCACTGGTTCTTTCAGAGTGAAATCAAAAGTCAGCTTGTTATGGTTGTCAGCAGCTTATCTTTAGTATCGCTATTTCCCCTCTGCTCTCCTCTTAACGATGTTTTTAAGAACTTGCCCTTTGCATTCTTCTATAGTCCTACTTACACAAGGCAGCCACCCCTCAAGTCGGCTAACATCAACTTGGCACAACATTTCCACCCATGGTACTCGGCTTGGATGATTTGACTCAGCGCATGTGAATTCGCTCCACGTACTGCCTTATTTATCATTAGGAAACCATTATCTTGGACCGAAAATACTTGATAGGGTCCTTCAAATTTCGCTTGCAACTTTGGGCGGTCATTACGTGCCACCATTATCCAGTCTTCTGGCTGGCATTCATGTTCGCCCCGTGCCTTATTCTCCTGCTGGCTAGCCTTATCCAATTGTCGCTGTTTTTGGGGCTGCTTTTTCTGCCTCGACATTAGTTGGGTAGTAAAAAAAGACATATCACGGCCAGATGCCGCTTACCTGAAAGACAATGGTGTCATCGTATGATGTTGAGCCCGTAACGTAGATGACACCACTGAAAACAAGGTTGTCATTCCTCGTATATGGTAATCTTCTCAACTCGCTGTTTATTGCCATTTGAGCGATGACCCGCTCAATGACGCTATTTGTTTCCGAATTCTTGGTTATGGTACAGAATCGCTCGACGCCATAGCTTCCCAACAGTTCACGAAATGGTCCTACCAACGCAGCGCCTTGGTTGCCAATACATCTTTCGGGTCTTGGATACCGATTAAACCACACATGGTTAGCAATTCGAGGTGCCTCGGCACTCGTGCCATCCTGCATTACCGAAATTTCGATTAGCCGAGTACTTGTGTCGATAATCGTCTTTGCGCGCCATTTTTACTGCCCCCAAAGAGGTACAACGTGTCTACAGTAATATCTGCCCACGGTCGGATCTCTACAGGCTTTGCTGAAATCCGCCCGTGTTTTGAATGTTGATCCTTGCTACGAGCACACTGTTCAAATTTCGTACCCCCTGGCAAGCTGCTTCCGTTATTCCTGGTCATGCCATTACGGTCTTTAGCGACTCCAGCATGACGTTTCTCCAGGATGAACTCACCATTGATGGTACGTATTCAATACCTTAGATACCAGCTCGAGTGATAGTACAGTATGATTTTCCCGTCTGCTTTGGCGACTAACACCATAATGTTGCCAATCGCGCGCCTTGCACAGTTGCACCGCCGCCCGTAGCAGCAGCTCGAGCATTCAACGTCCGTATCTCGACTCGTCAGGTCCTTGAAACCGATTCCGGGCCTAGGGGCTGCTGTCAGCGAACTTTAACAGTATATGCGCCAAGACTGGTTGTGTTGTTAAAATGAAATGAAAAAGTGAACATGAAACGTAGCACGAATATAGCAGCTTTTTGCTGTCGCTTGTCCGTCACCGTACCAACCGCCTAACACGGGCTTCCATCCAATACGTTTTTTTTTCACTCTGAAAGGACGAATGACACAACAAATTGAAATTTGACTTGTGTAAGCAAAAAGAAGATAACGATGAACGGTCAAGACGAGCAAGGGCCGGTGAGGTTTAAGTCACAAGGAAAGGTGAAGGGAACTATGGAGGCGAAGCCGTTTGGTTGAAAACGTGGTTGGAGTTTCAGCTGAGGCTGAACCGGGTGTACAACTTGGGTTAAAAGAAAGTGCAGACACGATGAGAGACCTCCGCGCGGTTGTCACTCAGCTTCGCTCCGGAAATGATCTAGACGAGCTTAACAAGCAATACAACGAAATACGGAATGATGAAGAGCCATATATGGAAACAATAGTGACGCCAATGGAGACTTTAGCACAAAGATATTGCCCTCCCGGAACGCGCGAGATGTTGCATGAGGAGATTCGAAGTCTCCGAAAGAATCGAAGTTTATCGGTGGAAGAATATGGGTCACGGCTCAACCATTTGTTGCACTTGGAATTCGGGGCACTTCCGGATGATGGAACCGGTTTGACGAATTCAGAAAAGTGTCGATTCTTTAGTGCTATGCCGCGTAGTTGGCAAATGCAAGTAGTAGCACAACGATGGGAGAATTGTATCAAATTGAAGGATTGGTATGTGGATTGCGAGCGAGTGGACCAGTAATTAGAAAAATGACGGCTTATTGTTGCCTATTTGCACGACTGGGAGGGCTTGTATTGCATCCCTTTTATTCTTCCAACCGAGTGTTGAGCTCTCGTTTGCCTCGTTAAAGGCTTACCCGTGCCTGGTACCCTTCCGCAGTTGGCACTACGAGGAACGATAACACCTATTAGTTTTGCTCGTGCTAGTAGCGTGTTCTTATTTCTACTGGTTGGCCTATAGAAGTAGTTTACAAGGTCCAGTTTGTCCCGGTGCAAGGGCAGAACTGGGGACTTCAGGTCCGCCTGAACGATCGTTTACTATCCTAGTAGACGCATTGTTGTGGGAGCTTCATAATTACATTTGTAGCTAGAGCTCACGTGGGATTCCCAACACCACAATTGTTCTTCCGAATTAGCTTGAGATGTAGTCATCGATTTCACTACCGGGCATCATCAATAAAATAGCTGCGCCCCCATCCACTAGAGCAGTCGCCATTTTCTAACCACGTCTGTCATCCCGGGATTCCGTCGGCTCGGCCATCTCGGGATCGGTCGTCTCGCCTGTCGCAGCTGCCCCGCGACGATCTCGAACGCAGCACACTTCTCTACAGACACCAGCGCCTCAGCAATAGATGTTGCCGCCGTCTTGAGCTTGGTCATCTCGGCCATAGTGGGCTCAGGCGTCGCGTCCGTTGCCGCTGCCCCATTACAAGCTCCGGGGCAGACACGGATGCGACGGAAGGGTCCGCTCTGAACTTCCGCCCTCCATGCTTCCAGCGACCGCAGCTTCGGACTCTGGCGGCTCCTTTGGCGTCTCATATTTCTCGGTCTCACCGGGACGTCAGCGGCGACTTCCGTTTCGCTGGATGTGCTATCATTTTGCTCGACATGCAACCGGCGCAGCACACCTCCACGCCGACTCAGCAGCGACGCCAGTCGTCTTGGTCTTGTTCGTCTCGATCATTCCATTCTCAGCTGTTGCGCCCGTCCCTGCGAAGCAGCACACTCCAACACACACGCCGGCACCTCGGTATCAGGTGCACCCAACATCTAGGCCTTAGTCGTCTAGGTCATCCCAGGGTCTGCCGCCTGGCGCATCGCTGCTGCCTCCGCAATGTTCACCAACAAAGGTCACTCCACCACAAACATCGGCGCATACGCAACTGGCGCATTCACGTCTTGAGATCGGTCATTGCGGTCATATCAGGCATCTTGGTCCCAGTCGTCTCGTCAGCCGCCACTGTTTCCGGAACAGGTTCCGGTGTAGCCGCAAATACGCCCTAAAGATCCTGTTGCATCGCATCCTGCATTCCCACCACATGGCTTCCTCCACAGCTTCGCCATCGTGCTTCGGGCTCTGTCGGATACTGCAGGTCTTCGGGAGATCTCAGTCCTGACTGACACTTCGTCTTCGACTTCCGCCGTGCCGAAGGTGGCCATTCGCTTCCGTTGATCAACCACCACAGCGCACGAGACACTAGAAAAGCGCTTCTCAACGTGACTTCACAGTCAACCGTTGACTCAACGCCATGCTTAAAGGATGCCCTCCGTAAGCTCAGCGGTCGGATTGACGTTTCGACCTCAGGCTTGGCTAAGATTGTTTTAGTGCTCAGTATCATAGCTGTCTCATCCGATTAAACTGTGTCATTATGCAGTACGTTTTAAAACCCTTACATCACAGATTCGATCCTGTCTTTGTTTTAAGAGGTTTTACCTGAACAAATCTATATCGACTATGGGATTATGTCGCTGTCTAATCGGTGCTGACTGGAATCAGTGTATGCACAATCGGATTTGGTCAGACGGGGATAGTCGATCGATACAATTGAGTTGATTTAACATCTCTATATAAATATGCTCTAAGAGCATCTCCAGCGGTAAGTCTTATCGTAAGGCTTATCGAATGCCGTTGAGACCTCGAATCCGGCGATTGAGACTTGAAGACATACAGCAACAAGTCTTAACAGCGTTTTATTCAATTTTATTTTGTCCAATTAAAGCCCGCAGTCTGAAAAAATCCTTCTTCCCCAGTAATGGAAATCCTCTCTGCATCGGCGGCAAGCGTCTGCCTCAGTGACGACGGCAGCTCCGATGACGAGTTCTTCCGTCTTTTCATTCTCCCCTCTTCAGTCCAAAAGCGCAGACCTAAGCATGGAGGGTCGAGCGCAGGAAAATGCGCAGGAAAAGCTCGCGATCGCGCCAAATGGGGAGCCAGACGGATGGCCGATTACTTTGGACCAAACTCGACGCACGATGAACGTAACGTTTGTATCTACTGCTACGACAAACACATTGCTGTACTAACTGCCATCTACTTGTCTCATCTTATCGTGTCCACAGATGATTTTCGCCGCCGATTTCGTATGCGTCGAAGTCTATTCGAGACTATTGTCAACACACTCGTAGGTGACGAGTACAGTAACTACTTCGTTCAGAGACATGACGCTACAGGACTTCCTGGTCTCTTACCAGAGCAAAACGTGACGTGTGCGCTGCGGATGCTCGCGTACGGCGCAAGCGCCGACCAAATGGAGGAGCTCATACGGATTGGTGAATCAACAGCACTAAAGCCTTTGAAGACATTTTGTGGCAGTATTATTCGTCTGTTTGGTGATGCATATCTTCGAAAATCTACACGATATGACATTGAGGTGCTTTTATACGAGAATGCTGCTCGTGGGTAGTTGTTGTTCCATCAGCAACTCCTTCTTCTCTGAAGCAGCAACGAACCGTTGCTGAATGTCGTCTGCTAGCACACCTTTTGATCGCTTTGCAGCCTTCTGGCCCTGTGGCCGACACACAACGGATGCATCGGTGCCACGTCGTTTTGAACCCGCGGTCGTTGTGAGCTGAGCTGTCCACTTTGGCTTGTCACGGAGCTCCTTCCATGCTGCTAAAATCTCAAATTGTTGCTTGTGGCGCTCAGCGTAAATCCCCACTGCCGATGTTATGTACTTTTCCTCATTCCATCCAGAGCGCTCTCTACTCTTCAGCTTTGAATAAATGCCTTCAAACTTTGTCACTGCGGGCTGCAGTTTCTTCAACCTGCCAGCAACAGCGAGTTCAGATCGATCATCCGATTCTTTGCTTTTAATTTGAAGCCAAAGTTGATACATCCTCATGTAGAACGTAGCCTTCTTCTGACCGGCACCGCGTATAGGGTCTTGGAAGGTGTATATCCATGCCTTGCACAACTGGATCGTGTCGTCGTCGCCCCATTCAGGCCCCTTCCCCATGGTTTTGTTGGAATCTTCCCGCGTATGTTGAAGTGAGTGGGCCACATAATCTATTAAAACTGGAGTTTTATCTTAAGACTTGAATCGCTACTTTAGAGCTTCAAAAAGTAAAAACCGCTGTTAAGACTTTCTGCTGGAAGTTAATAAAACTTGGTCAGGTCTCAATCACGTTACTTTCGCGTTAAAACCGGAGTTGAGACTTGCCGCTGGAGATGCTCTAAGAGCATCTCCAGCGTCCCGCATCATACATTAAACGCATGTAAGTATAAAATACACATAAGTATGTGTATTTTATATTTACATGCGTTTAATGTATGATGCGGGACCATCTGATATGCATGGGTAGCTATTGTATTTTTACTATGGATGATGACATGCAGAAGGTGTCGAATAAATATCTCGTTGTCGGTAATAGCTCATGTTCGGGTTCTTTGGCAATACTTCAATTTTCTTTTCTCCAATTTCTTCCGAATTTTTCAATTGGTCATATATTGAAAGATGCTTCAGGCAGTCTACAACGATCTATTAGATTCGTTAGACATCTGAGCTCAGTTCGGCTCTTTTGGTAGCCGCGGTGGCCAGACCACGGAGCCCCTCTTGATGCCGCGGCTTCGAATGGGCCGGACTCACAAATTGTAATAGACAACCCATGGGTCATCGGCGATAGCAAACGCTCTAACGGGGTACTCCGCATTACGGATTGGAAGACGTTGGATTCCCATCCGAGCTGCGATAGAGAAGTATACGCTAAGGTTTTACAGCAAATGTCGGTCTACTACTGCTAATGTTATATGATGATGAAAGAAGCCGTACTCGACACCGGTAAAACCCAGAAATTTGATCCCTTTCTAACACCTACCCGTAACCTGACGTCTGGCGCGGGTAGCACTAACATTATTTAAAAATAGTCGTAGTATAATACTCACTTTTTTGTTGGCATTACTCCACAAAGTAGACCAACCAATTTTTTACCTACAACTAAAAAAACATAGTGTCATTTAGATATAGGGCGCCTTTCAATTCTGAAAATGTGGTTAAAACAGGCGAATTCCCAGCCGTTTTCTAGATATTGCACAAAGTATCATGGTTGTATGGGGTTTGGTGACGTTTAATTTACGGCGATTACTTATCGGAACTGCACTGTGATGACAGATGCAATCAGTGATGACTGCACACAATACGACACGAGTTAGTTAGAATTGGTGGGTCTGATGTAAAGTAAATCATTCTTCAATCTACATCAGGGCCACCTTCTCTTCCTCCAGCAATGATCAGCTCACTCAATCCCCCTACCAAATACTCGCTAAGCGACATCGTTATTTGGGAAGTGACGGATCGTGTCGCTCCGCAGCACAGCAGAATGGAGCCCAGCTTTCTTGCTGATTCCTTCTCTCTGAGTAGGCACTCAGCTTTTGAGATGAGGGCAATCACTCAGCACCAGTTTCCTCGTTCATTCGAAGATCTCTCCTCGGAAGATGCTAAAGCCTTAACCTCCCTGTTACCAACGTCATAAGTTATGACATAGTCCAAATTGTACGTCGTAACTTACGACATAGTGTTTTCTTCATATTGGAGTTGGCTCGGAAACGGCGACCTGATACTGAAATCAAATCAAATTTGGGGCCGATCGGATATAAGGCTGGAGAGGTTTTTGCTGCACACACAAAGACAGTACGAGGAAAAGGGTTCAAGTGGACCTTTCCAACTGTCATCATTTGATGAGTGGCCAGAAGTCTTCGGGCACTCTCAGCCATTCGAGATTTTGCCGGCTGAGACGTAAGCAAAATGCCGGTCTCTGTGAGCGCAAGGACCAAAGCTGAGGCTCCAGCGTCGGTGGATCCGCGCCTGGTAGACTTCGGCCACCTGTGACGCCAGCTCAAGGCCGCGGGGTGGCGGTCGAAGCCTCCCACCGGACTGTCAAACGATTGGGCGTACGTCAGGCCGTCCAGCGAGGTTCCTGCAGAAGGCGAGATTGTGTTCTACGGTATGTTGTGCTATTGCAGTATTACTATGCGTCATTTCTAACTTGGTTCGTGGTAGGTGAGAGAGCGGTGGTGGAGCACGCGATCACAACCGGACTGATTCAGGATGAAGAGGACAACAGCAGTGGCGAGGAGAGTGGAGATAACGGTGAGGGCAAGAGCGGTGGGGGCGGTGAAGCTGAGAGCGGTGGCGGCGGTGAAGCTGGGAGCGGTGGGGCCGACAGCGGTGATGGAGATATGGTGCGAGCGTCGCAGATTGATTGCAATGTGGCCCTCTCGGCCAACACAGTCGACGCGCTGTTCGGAAGTGACAGCGAGGACGATGGCACACCTGCGTTGTCGCAGAACGCGGTTGGGAGAGCTTTTGGGCTATCCCCGCTACGTGCTGACGCGGTGCATGACTCAGACCAGAGTGTCGTGATCGAAGCTTTCCAGCGGCTGCTCTCGGAGACGGAGCCCGACCTAGACTCTGAGGACGACACGGTGGAGGAGCCGAGAGACGCCAGCGAGGGTGACGACGCTGGAGGACCAGTTGTACCACGCGATCCAGCTGATGTAAACTTGATGAAGGCTGGAGATCTTAGAGAGGAGTACGAGAGTCTGAGTTCAGGCTCCGACTACGGCCAGTTTTCTGACGACGACGACGTGGAGCCTGTCCGTCCTGATCCAGACGAGGACGAGGTATCGGACGACGAGGAGTCGCCCTACATGGATGCCGCTTTCATTGAGGCCCTGGGTGGCACCTTGTCCATCGAGCAGATGGACCAGAAAGCGCTGCGAAACTTTGCCTGGAGCGCGCCTTCGACAGTTTTTGCGGACGATGTGTCCTGCTTTCGCGGATTGGTGCAGGAGACCGCCCATCCAACACCAGAACTTTGCTCGAAGAAAGAATCACCTCTTGAATTGATGTTTTATTTCCTACCGAAGCGCCTGTGGATGCGGATCACCAAAGAGACGAACCGGATGAAAAGGCAGACGGTGGACCATCGAGCGCGTTATGAACGATCGCGGACGTCCAGAACGGAGAACATGCGTACACTTCGTGAACTTCGACGCCGTATTCGTCGGGAGAACGTCTACTCACCGCGCGAGATCTTGTGCGTTATTGGGCTTCTCGTGGCTCATATGTTGAGCCCCACCCGACGCTTTTCGCAGCACTGGGCAATGACCGACGATGGTGCTTTAAGTGCAGGTGCGTTCGGCAAGTACATGAGCCGGAACCGCTGCACGTCGATCCTGCGCGATCTACACTTCGCGAACAATGACAGCCCGAACCGTCAAGACAAGCTGTGGAAGATCCGTGACGTTGTTGATGTACTGCAGGAACGGTTCCTGAGCGCGTGGAAGCCGCCGAACATCATCTCGTTTGACGAAGGTGTCTTGCCGGCGACATCCAGACGCAACACGACCAGGATGTTCATGCCAGACAAGCCTCACCGCTACGGGACCAAGATGTTTACGACATGCGACTCGTTGACTGCGTACTGCCACCGGTAAGCGACGAATGTTTTTTGGATGATTTGCTAGGTCGTAAGTTATGACTTTATGATTTTGACCGTGCTCTCAATGTCGTATCTTTCAGGTTTGAGATCTATGTCGGAAAACGCCAAGCCAGCGAGTCTGCTGCGCAGGCATTTGACCGTAAGACGGGCGCTGCGGCAGTCATCCGCAACCTGAGCACTGTTCTAGCTGGGCATCGTGGCTTCCGGGTTGTGGTCATCGACCGCTTCTATTCGTCCGTAGCCCTCGCCATCCAGCTTCTCTCTATGTCAATCTACGTGATCGGTACGATCATGACGAACCGCCTGGGCTTCAACCGCGACATCGTAGCGGAGCATAAGACGCGACCAAGGCGCATCGAGCGTGGATCCTTCAAGTTCGCAAGATCGACGGCAGTGCCGACCATGGTTTCGTGCCTCTGGTGGGACCGGAAGCCGGTCCACTACCTCGCGACAGGTGTGTCCATGGCAGAGGACAGGATCCAGCGGAACCTGAAGGGGCTCGGGACTTCGATGTTCAAGTGCCCGAAGTTGGTGACGGATTACCAGCGCTGGATGGGAGGAGTCGACGTGCATGACCAGCTCCGCCTCCAGTCCTCCTCCATCCAGCTCTCCTTCAGGTTCCGGAAGTATTATAAGAGTCTTTTCCTCGGACTACTGGACCTGGCGCTCGTCAACGCGTACCTCACGCATAAAGAGGCCAGTCGGCTCGCCGGCGAGACGCCCATGAAGCGATACGAGTGGTTGAGCATGCTGCACAAGCAGTTGCTACAGCTCAAGGACGAAGACTTCATGGCAGCCCCCACTCCGTCGCCAGCAGCACGCATGCGACGGCGCCCTGCATTCTCCGGACACACGCTCGTGCAGTTCAACGACTGGGTGACTGTGAGGGGCGGCATCCAGAAGAGGCGTCAGCGGTCGTGCAAGGTGTGCTCGCTGTATCGAGACGAGCTCAAAAAGTCGTTCCAGACGACCTACTACTGCCCGGACTGCTCCAACGGCGACGCCAAGTTCTACCTGTGTGGCAAGGCGCGCAGAGGTGGCGACAAGACTTGCTTCCAAGTGTGGCACGAGGACTTCGCGTGCGGTGACAGGATCCCAGCACACCTTGGCAAGCGAGTCGTGCTGCGCCGCGCTCCCAAAACCGTCGGCGTCCGCAAGAAGACTCGTCGTGAGATTCTCCGCGAAGACAATGAGGGTGCTGACGAGGAGGCCGAACCGTGAATGCGAAGGAACGCCAGACGATGAGGACAACTAATCCCAGCTGGAGGCCCTCCTTAGTTATCCCCCCTGACGATGAGTGTGTTCATTGCTTCATAAATGTGACGTCCTTTACCATATGCTCTGTGTCTGTTCCTCTTTTAGCATGTCAGTCATCGAAAAGCCCTGCTCTATGTGTGCATTCGCTTGCGTCTTCCCGTTTTAATTTTTATGTTCACTCTTACAAAGTCGTAAGTGTCGGTGTCCGTGTCGTTTGGGTCATCCTTACGTCGTATGATATACGACGTAGCGTGTCGAA